CTCTCTCTCTCTCTCTCTCTCTCTCTCTCTCTCTCTCTCTCTCAGAGAGCCGTTTCTCTCTCCCTCTGATCTGACCGCCGGGTGCATTCGCTCTTCGACTGAGAGATGCATGCCCTCTCCCTCCGATCTGTGCGCCGGGTGCATGCGCTCGACAGGGCCGTTTCTCTCTCCCTCTGATCTGACCGCTGGGTGCATGCGCTCTTCGACTGAGAGGTGCGTGCCCTGCCCGCCCGCGTGGACCTCCCCGCATCCACACCCCGACATGCACAACTCCTCTGCCGCCCGCTCGCTGCCCGTCCGCCCGATGGTCACTGTTTCCCCGGCACAGCCCGGTCGTTTATTCGCCACCCCCTCCCGACCCGTTTGGCCATGGGGCCGTCACGCGAGACCTCCGCCCGCCCGACGCTTGCTGTTTCCTCGCCCGTTCCCGACCCGGCACAGCCCGCTCGTCGATTCGCCACCCGCTCCCGACCCGTTTGGCCGCGGCGCCGTTTTGCCGCCTGCTCCTAGCATGGGCCCTGGGCCCGTCTCGACTTTTCCCAACACTGGCAGCGGGTGCTCGCGTGGGACCGTCACCCGAGACCCTCTATTTGCTTTATAGTATTAGAGATATTGTAAATGTACTAAAATTCTAGGCTACCAGCTGGGCCGCCCGGGTCCCGGGTGGCCAGCCCGTGCAAGGACCAGGGAAGGTCCCAGCAAAAAAAAAAAAAAAAAAAAAAAAAAAAAAAAAAAATCAGAAAACAAAAACTATGTTATGCAGAAAAATAAACTGAACAACTTTTGCCTCAGGGTCACATCGAAATTCTTCACCAAATTTAGAATAAAAAAAATATATTTTTTTATTATTATATTATTTTTTGCCCGGCTGGCCAAGTGACCCCGGGCCACTCTGGTAGCCTAGTAAAAATATACTTTTCGTTGTCTTTGAAAAATAATTAGTGTGCCTTGTACGCTTGTGCTGTTTATGCAGAGGGCAGGTGTCCGTGATGATCATGGGCAGCCCAAGCTTGTGGATATCTTCGGCGCTCCTCTCACCTTCAGGTTGGTCGGACAGCGGATTTTCGGCATGAACCATGGTCCCTCCAGTGCTCTTCATCTTCTTCTCTCTTTAAAACGTGGCAGCTTACTGCTCTCTTATTGCAGTGGGCTCATCTTTTTCAACTCTCCTCAGACCTGGGCTTTTTCTCTGCGCAATTTCGTCATCCTCCAAGCAGCGTCAAGAGAGGGAGGGGCAGTGGACAGGGGTGTTATTCTCATGTGATGCTTCTGTTCTTTTCACCGAATACCAAGCAATGTTGGGACCTCTGTTAACCCCCCCCCGTCTGTTTCCCAGTTATGTGAGCCTCGGACAGCTCTTTCGTCATCAACTAAATTAACTTGGCCCAGGCAGGACTGGGCAATCATGAAACAGCCGGAGGGTTAACTGGCGCACCTTGCTCACGACAGGTGCTTTCACATTGGTTGCCTTCAAGACAGCTGTCGAACATGGAATGATACAGGAGAATATTAGCATGGGCCCTTTACAAGGCAATGAGAAACAGTTGACAGTACGTCTGATGCTAAATTCACGAACCAACATCGAAATTTTGCCTAGCCTGAAAATGACGGGTACCACCGCCTGCAAAATTGAGGGTGGTTGGTTACCTGTACCGGCGTCTGTGAAACTGAAGTGCTGGACCTGATGCCAGCAGATTGAAGGAAAAGGAGGCCGAGGTCGTCGTTTTCACTCATGTGCCACCCCAGCCAAACTCGCCAGCTAACTTCCCAAATGCGCCTGTATCTGGGACCTTCCCAGTGCCAGATTCAGACGCCTACAACTGCGTGGATGCCTGTGAACGGCAGCTGCAATAACAGAAATCGCAAAGAAGGCTAGGAAGATGTCACGCCCAGCCGATCATGCCTGGCCAGGCACCCGGTGTGACGCCCGGGGTACCTGGGCCTGCAAAACATTGTTTTTAACTTTTTATTAATTTTAATTCTAATTTTTGGTTTTCTGCACTCTCCCACAGGATCCCAAATCCAGGCTCTTTTCTTTTTTTGAGAGTTGGCTGTCAAGTCGCTGGAAGGGGGTATAAACTGGTTTTAAAGGAGCTAAAGGGGTTTAAACCACCCCTTTACCCGCCTCCTGGAAAGTTCCCTCCCTGTGAGTTCGGGTGGGTTTATTGGGGGCAGCAGCGACCGTTGCCAACTGCCAGCCTAGTCCTGCGATTTCGGAGTGGCAACGTTGGCGATTTTTCGTGCTCAGAAGAATTCACAGAAAATTTGAGGGTCCGTAGATTAGGTTGTGATCTCTCTAGGAAAAATATCAGGAAAAAAAAACAAAAAAAACTCATTTTGCCCGTGAAATAATCGCCACACCGCCTCGGCGGATTTCCATTTTTGCCACTCTACCATGTGTCAGCTAACAGAAGAAGTACTGCAACTTCGGTGATTTTTTTGCGTTCAGAAGAATTCAGAAAAAAATTATAAACATTTGATGGTCCATAGATTGGGTCCTGTCAAGTGGCCTGACCTCATGTGCTGTCGGTTTCAAAGCAGAGGAGGAAAAAAAAAAAAAAGCATCCGGGCTAAGAACCTGGAAAGGAAAAAGAGGCGGCTCCCAGCACATGTGGCTAAATGATACACCATGTAGCTGTCAATAGACAGACCTGAGTTTGAATCCTGAAGGAATCAGATGAATAAAATAACTCTGGATTATCTGGGCCCGATCTGTTCGTTGGTGATATCTCAAGCCCTCAACTCTGGATTATCTGGGCCCGATCAGTTCGTTGTCGATGCCTCAAGCACCTCAAGTCCTCAACTCTGGATTATCTGGGCCCGATCAGTTCGTTGGTGATACCTCAAGCCCATCGCCCTTTTAGAAAGAGAAAGGAAAAAGAGGAGGAAACGATTCAAAATAAAAATGAGCAACGAAAGAAAGAAGATGAAAAAATCAGCTAATGGTTTGGGGATGCACGTAGCGGGATTGAAAGATGACGATGACGAGCCCTGCTGTCTTCCCCTTAACGGAACCCATGGTTATTATAGTGGTATTTGGGGCATCTTTCAGTTTAGATACAGCAATCATGACCGTATGTTTGGGCGAAGTGGATAGTAGTGCACATTACAGTTTTTCTAAGACTGCTCTTTTGAGTCTTTTCTCTATGTTTATATTATTGTGGGAATGAACGTCTAGTTTTCCCTCGCGATAAGGGGAAGGTGACAGGCACTCGCTTTCAGTCACTGACTTTTCACTCAGGAAAGGGAGGCTCAGATTACCATCATTTGCTGGATAAAGGCATGGAAGTTAGTGTTGTCCTCGAGCATGAGAACGGTCATCCATGTTGCAGCTTCTCTATTGCAATGTTTATGCTCCCTGCATTAGGGGAGTTGATTGTTGCTTGCCTCAGTGTGTGTGGGGCCTTGGAAGGACTCTGATCGTTCATTTCTTGCCTTGCAGCCGGAAGGCCTATGATGATATGCTGGTTGCGAAGCTGGAGACGGTCTTTACCGACTCTGGAGAGAATGGCTCCTGCCAGGTATGCTCAGCACTACAGCCTCTCTGTCCCACAGGGGTATGTCACCTTTTCTGCGATGACGCAATTGGGTTAGGGTTATTGAGAGGCACAATGTCGAACCTGGAAGGCCGGGTACTCAGTATTAGTCGCTTGGTGTGCGTTAGTAAAATAAAATAAAATAAAAGTAAGGGCTTGGACCTGGTGTTGGGCCCCATGTACTAGTATCACCAGACTGTGAAGGTTCACGAGTGCCTCAGTTGTGGTTCGGAGAGCAGCAAAGAACATGTGGTCTTCGCGTTTTCCCCAAGGTAGTGTGACTTAGTGGCCGGTCAGCGGAGTGTGGTATCGGAGCTTGTCGATTACGCTGTTGTTTCAGGACAACATTCTCTTTCCTTTGTTTCTTTCTGTTTTGGTGGGGTATGGAGGAGAGGCGTGGCAGCTATTCCTGCTGTCATGTCCAGTTTGTCTGTCGTTCTTTGTTTTTCTCACTTTTTCTCTGCTGAAGGGTTGGTCTGTCTCATTCAACCTTCTTGAGAACTAGAAGCAGGGACAGACATGATTGCGCTGTATGTGTACGAGATCCGTGTTGTTTGTCTGCTTGTTTACTTGGTGTTTTACGTTTGGCAAGGGGGCGGATCTGCACATTCTGAAACTCTGGGTCCTTGGATGCATCTGCAGCTTCTGAAACTGCGCAATTTACAGACCCGGAATCTCTGAGACCTTAAGAGTACAGCCGTAGTCGAGAGAGGGACAAAGAAATACCTATGAAATTAGTACAATTACAGATCTATAATTTCTCTGACTTCTAAGGGACATCTTTTCCAACTCAATCTTTTGGCTCTTTCTCTTTGTAGTAAGTTTGTACTCATGCTTGCCGGTGATAAGCAACTGGACTGACGCCCCCCAGAATTGAAGGGGCTTGGGTGTTTTGGTGTTAAAAAAAAAAAAAAAAAAAAAAAAAAAAGAAGAAGTGGCGCCTCAGTCCCGTAACCTGTGGTTCCTAAACCCTAAAACTAAAGTAATTGATCCATGCCCATCTCGTGCTGAAAGGTCCTGCTCGATCTAGAAGGTCTGCGATTGAATTAGATTAGACCAAAGCAAAACTGGAACCTTCCTCTTCAGGAAAGGATCTGGAGCTCCATTGCTCCCCAAGGCACTGCGCACGGTGTTTGTTTGTTTTTTTTCCTTTCGACTCGCACGGCAAAATGGTAGCACTGTTCATCCGAACTTTTTGAAGTACTCACTTTCGAAACTCAAGTTTGCCTTGGCAGTGCACTTGCAGTTTAATGTGTAGGAGGCTGAATTAGAGGGCTTAAAGTACTCCTTCCGGTCTGCTCTGTTTTTCTGGATGATGGATTAAGGTCCGTTCATTCTTGCCAGTGAGTCCTGTTACCGTTAACGTCAACGTGTTTCCCTCCATGGTTCATCTTTATACGCTATCTCCTCCATGGAAATGAGGTGTGTAGCGACTTGGGTGGATGAATGGTCTCCATTCTGATAAAGAGGCCAGTGAGGAAGGGCAAAGCAGAAATGATGAAATGTCAACGTGTTTCCCTCCATGGTTCATCTTTATACGCTATCTCCTCCATGGAAGTGAGGTGTGTAGCGACTTGGGTGGATGAATGGTCTCCATTCTTATAAAGAGGTCAGTGAGGAAGGGCGAAGCAGAAATGAAGAACTGAAAGCTCGGTGGATGGTCTGATGTGGCTGGAAAAGATGCGGTGGTTCCTGAGAAATATAATAGTCTCATTGTCACACCTTTTCGATTTGCAACGTCGGCAATGCTCTGTCAAGGGCCCTTCAACGGAAAACCCATATGCCGACTCGTTGATGGTACTCCGTTTTTGGCATGAAGATTGATTGATTGCATTTGACGTGGGGCATCTTGCGATGGTGTCTTTGTGTTTTTGCAGCTTGTTTTCAACACTGAGCAAGGATTGCCTATTGCTCCTGACTGGCTGTTCTTTAATCGGATCAACGTAAGAGCAAGACAAGGGCTTAGGATGGGCCCAATGAGGTTCATTGCAAGGTAGGAATGAAACCTCAGTCCACCTTAATGCACTCCTCCTCTCCTCCTCCCCCCCCCCCCCCCCCCCCCCCCCCCCCATCTCTCTCTCTCTCTCTCTCTCTCTCTCTCTCTCTCTCTCTCACACACACACACACACACACACACACACATATTCCTTCTGATTTGTTATCATCATCCGATTTCAGATTGCATTACCGGGCATCAATGCATATCTGTTTGAGCCTTTGAGAAGAAATGAGCAGAAGTCCGGCTTGAACTGAGCTAGGTTTACTACGTCGGATGGCTTTCTGATGCTGCCTCGTTGACATCCGTTTTTCTTGTTTTTGGCAGTGGTTCAGGAGGTACGGTCATAGGTGATCTTGCGCCACACGAAGCATTCCCTATCGGTGGAACAAATAGTGTGCGAGGGTATGACGAGGGTGCAGTTGGTTCTGGGAGGTCGTACATGGTCGGAAGTATAGAGGTCTCCATTCCCCTGGTGAGAATCTGCCGCAGTCCCTTCAAGCTGCTTGTGCGTGTGATGTGTTGAAGCATTCAGCATCGGTGGATTTGATTGAAAGTGGCAAGTTGTGGAGCACAAAGTGCCATAAACTCAGCCTTCTGATTTACATCTGGCCCGAAAGAGGCAGGGGATGCTGTGTGTTGGGAAAACTCACTTGTGTAATGACACTAGTAGCTTTTACAGAAATGTGTGGGGTTCCGAAGTTTGGGGACAGAAGACAGGAAGCCGTACTATTAAGTTAGTGATGATGGTTTGTTCTGGCCGTTTTTAATGACTACGGCGAGCCTGCTTGTTTGCGTTTTTCCCCTTTTCTGGGTTTTCTTTTGCTGCCTTTTTAATTCGTTTTTACTTACTTGATTTTATTTTTTTCAGCCTGCTGGTTTACTGATCAATTTGGAAGACTGTTTTTTCTTGAGTGGACTTTCTGGAAACTGCAAGAGAATTAGATGGAGGACCGTTGGAGATTTTATATGATCACAATTTATGTATTCGTTTATGATATGATAAATTGATAATATAATAATGATAAAATAATCAAATATCAAGAATTCTTTAATTTCATGTGAGTGAGGCTTGGCGGGTCTTTCTTGGAGGCAATGGAATAATCTCTATTATTGATGTGATTTTGATGGTCTCCTTGTCAGAGGACAATACCACACCTTGCAGCTCTCTCTTGAGAGAAGAAAGATGAGCATGAAAATTTTTATAAACACTGTAGTTCCGTAAATACCTCATCTAGGTAATATCGAGATTGCCTCACTGATAGAATATTTGGAGTATGTAATATGTATGAGTCGATGAAACTCCGGCGAAACAGTTTGTCACAGCCCGTCGTTTGTTGTCCTCTTTTCTCTCTCGTCCCTCTCTGCCTACGCTTTACCGTTGGCAGCTCTGTTTGACGATATATATGTTTGTGTGGGTGCAATCCAGATGGTTTGACTGAAAATTTCATGGGGTGTTCTCGCATGTCAGAATACTGGTACTGTCTGAAAAACTTAGAGGGATTTGCACACCAGTCCAACAGAAGGGAAATATGACCCAAGCAGCACACAGTTATGTGATGGGAGGGAAGTGCAGTTGATGGTATTCTTTCTCAGTTGACGTCTTCTTTTTTTTTGCCCTCTCAACTTTGAGGGGAGAGGTCAAGATTGCCAATATCTAGAGGCAATTCCAGATTTCCGTTGATAGGGAAGTGATTCCAAAAAAATGCATGTGATTAGAAACTGATTGCAAGATTGGCCCTGGCAGGCCATGAAGCTTTCCATGGTTGCCCCTGCCCCACCTAACACTAATCCTGCGACATTTCGAAAAATGCGATCGTGTCCACTGCTCAGGGTCTGACTTGGGTTTGCAGTAGCATGGTTGGATTCCTTTGAAAATTTGTTCGTGATGAACGATGATAGGCACAGCTACTCAGCCAACTTGCACGGCTCAGTTTTCCTTGCATATGCTTTTTCCACGTGGTCCGATTTTTCGTTGTATGAACTTTTGTTCGTGATGAACCATGATAGGCCCGCAAATGTCTTCCAAGTTTCCCTCTATATCCATTCTGCCATCCCTGACGTATTTTTTTCCCTAGGACAATCGCGCCACTTCTCCTCTCCAGCTCGTGACGAGTACGGGATAAGGTTGCCGGTTGGATCAGGTGTGTGCATCTAGGATCGGCGTATGGGGTCGCTGTTCGTTTCCTCCGACTGCCCTTTTCGTGATGTGAAGGTGTTACTGACCGCTTAATCACCCCCTTGCTGTGTAGCATTGTGTTCGGGTTCGGTGACCAAACCCGAACGTTCGGGACCGAACGCGAACGAGCGCCGAAACTCTCCGAACGCGAACACAAAAATAAAATAAAATAAAAAAAGAAACAAAAAGTTCTCCGAAAAATATGAAAATAATATGTGTTATGTAAAATAATAATACATTAAATACAAACAACTTTTGGCTTGGAGGTATGCTCAAATTCGTAACCAAACTCGAGTTAAAAATCAAAAACCAAAAAAAAAGAGGTTTTTTTTTTTTTTTTTTTTTTTTTTTTTTTTTTTTTTTAATACGGCCGAACATGTTCGGGTGGCATTCGGCCGAACACACGAACATGTTCGGACGTTCGGAAAAGCTCCGAACATGTCAGGTGTGCTACACAGCCCCCTTGTGCTTGTGCCTTGATGGTTGAGTAGGTGTGCCTATCATGGTTAAGGTTGCGCGCTGGATCAGGTGCGCATCTAGGATCGTCATATGGGGTCGATGTGCCCTTCGTCCGACTGCCCTTTTCATGATGTGAAGGTTACTGATCGTTGAATCCGCTTGTGCTTGTGCCTTGATGGTGTTGTTGCAGTTCGGGCCCGTTGAAGGAGCAGTGTTTTCAGATTATGGAACTGACCTTGGTTCTGGTGCAACTGTCCCGGGTACGCCCTTACGTTCTCCAACGCTTGCTTGCATCCTCATCGAACATTCCCTGCATCCCTGGATCGCCACGCCCCTGCCCTTTGTAGCCCATTGAATACACAGAACACAATCCAAAGTTCCCCGTTCATCGCCTTTGGCACGTGAAAGGGCCTTAATCTGATTCCTCATCACAGGATATGTGTCTAGCTTTTCCAAGAGGCACGAAGTGTTGATTCGATCAAAGCATTTCGCAATGTCGGCGTCAAGCACATATTTGGCTCTAATGGCTCTTTGTCTTTTTACTTGAGTAGTCTCATGCATGGTAAGTACTATAGCTCCAATCATGGCCACTAATAAAATAAGACTTGAAACCAGAAACAAATAAAAATAAGTGGTATAAAGTAGATTTCCTAAAGTTTCCAGATTCGTCCAACTTTTTTGGCTTCTTTTGGAGGTTTCCGAAGTTTAATACGTCAGCTTTCAAAACAAAAACTGAATTGGAATTAATCGCTGGAGTAAAAGGATTCGAACCTTTGCATGTCGGTATCAAAAACCGATGCCTTTCCACTTGGCTAYACTCCAATGAGATAACGCGACCGACCAACGGCCTCAATGTCTTAGCTTAGAATTGTGTTTTTGTTTTTCGAATTTCAACTATTTGACTACACCATACAAACAACAATTGAATATTTATGGCAAGACGACCAAGTTGAGTTTCTTAAGAGATTGATGTTGCCTGTTTCGAAGTGGATTCGAACCACTGACACAAGGATTTTCAGTCCTTTGCTCTAACCAACTGAGCTACCTAAACAAAAACAAAATCAAACTAGTTGTTCTGATAGATTAGATATAGATAAGATAAGGCGACCGACATACGGCACGCCCTGACTGACGGGCGTGCCGACTTAGGCTCTATCAGTCTATGATATGATATAAAACAAAAGTGAGAAGTAGCTAGGCAGCGTGTGCCAGAGAACTCAGCAGCTGAGGTCGTCCAAACTTGCGTTGAGGTCGTTTGAGCTATAGGCCCCGCCCGGACATTCAAATGGCTGGATGGGTTTAAAGTTTAAACCAGCCAGCTCAGAATTGGTGAGTTCTGGAAAAGGAAAAGCAAATAAACGAAAAAGAAGAGAGACGTTCCCTCGGGACATCCGTTAAAATTGGAACGATACGGAGAAGATTAGCATGGCGCCTGCGCAAGGATGATACGCATAAATACGCGTAAATTGAGAAATGGTCGACATTATAAATAGGAGAAGAAGAAGAAGAAGAAGTAGAGAGACGACTGTTGTAGAGGGAGGCAATGCGAACAATATTTGGTGAGGGTCACTAGTAATCTAGCAGGGTCTAAGATATCAAACACCAAAGCAGAAGACATTCAGTGCCCCAGCCTGTCTAAACCCCTCTATAGACTCTGTACACCCTGTCTATGCCCCCTATACCCCCCTGTAACCCCAGTTATGTCTGTTTTGACCAAGGCCAGATTTTTTTATCCATGCGACTTGTGCTATGTGCAGCATGATGATTTTTTTTTTTAATTATTTTTTTTTAAATACTCAGGTCTTTACGGGCTCGGCTCCTTATCCATTCCAGGGAGCATCGGTCCATTCCCGTTCCCTCAGCTAGTCAGATTTACAACCTCCCTCTTCCTTCCATCGGTCCAAAGGACACTCTTGAACAGAATCGATTGCTCCAATTACTTGGAGGATTAACTGTTAGCTTGCCTGGCATATTTACATCCTCTTCGGTTCAGCTCAGCGAACTTGCCAGAATGACGGAAAGAGTCTGAAAAACAAGAATAACAGAAGGACAGGCAAGGAACACAGGTGATTGTCCTGCTGTTGGGATTAATTGGTCCCACTGTTCTCCTCACAGTGGCAGAATTCGCATACCGTTCGGTACATCAAATGTATATTTTCTTTGCTGAAGTTCATTACAAGACCTGCTCTGCCGAGTATGAACTCAAATGCACATCGGGAACTCGCTTGATTCTGCCTTCCATTTTGGTATGGCGTAGGGCCTCGCCGATGAACCGTCCGATCTGCCTGTTTGTCTCCTGATGAATCTTTTGTTTTTCTTGCAGTAATTTTAGGGGCTTGTTAAAAAAAAAAAAAAAAAAGGGGCTTGTCGAGTTCCAGATATCTGGGTGGCCTGGACCTGGTCGAATCATGGTATGTCCAGGTTTGGTTATCGGGCCAGAGGTCGTATCATCGTATGTTGACACTGACCTCGATTACAAATCATTGGAATTATGACAGCCCATTCATTTTTGCAGAGTGTTTAATAAATTAATACTATTTATTGAACTTTATTCGCTAACGGAATAAGATGAGAAGATGGCTCTAACTTTTGGAAATGCCCGCGCCTTTGCTTTGCCGGTGTAAAATTTCATCTGCAGGTGATCCTGCCGGGGCGCGAGGGAAGCCGGGAAAAGGGTATGGTTATGGAGCGGGGATTCGGATCGACTCGCCTTTGGGACCGTTGCGGCTCGAGTACGCATTCAACGAAAAGCGTATGCGGCGTTTTCATTTTGGAATCGGTTACCGAAACTAGCACTTGCATTCCGCGTAGCTTCTTCTATTTCTCTCTATACGTTCAATTTTTTTTTTTTCTGCTCGTGCGTATTGTATGCCCTCTGACTAACTGAATAGAGGTGGTGGGGTCGTTCAGGCGGTTTGTGGTTTTGGCTGTGACGCATGTATGATTGGTCATGGACGGATCGGATCATAATTCATGGGATCGAATCCAATGGAATATTGGGGGGTACTGGGGGGTTTCGGGGGGTTGTCAGGTTTGCTGTGCTGTCTACATATACCCTCCATGTCCTTGTGGGGATAAAGAAGTGGTGTGATATGGTGGTGGTGTGCAGCGGGTCAGTGTCGATTAGTCCATTGCATGGGCGGGTAGTGCATGAACCAAGCGTTTGTGCCATCCATTTGTGCAATCCAGAGATTTTGAATATGTTTTTCGAGTCCTGGTTGCCTGCATGCTTGCTCGATGAAAGGTAAGCCCGACGGCAACTTGGCTTTATGTAATAATAACAAGAAAGAAAAGAAATAATGTAGTACTAAGTTACAAAGCCTGAACATCAGAGTTGGAGAAGGCATGGTTATGTCGCTGTGCCTGATGTTCTGTTTCGAGCTTTCTTTTCTTTCGTCCCCTTGTATTAATGTCGAAAAAATTGTACCCGGGTTGCGTTCACCTGCTTGCTCATTTTATGTCGATCCTTTTTCCATCCTCCCTCTCTGTGTCTACTTTTATCTCTTGCCCTCGTGCTTTGGGGTGTCTTATAATCCAAAGTGAATCAACTTTCTGTAATTGCCGACCTGTATGACTGTGGGCAGGTTCTATACTTATGTACTTCGCGTTTTATACTTTAGACTTTGCAGGTAAAATGGTTTATGACCATGGCAGGGGAAGGGAGGGGGAGGCTGTGGGAACAAGAAGGAGGGTTTTGATTGGCTGCGGAGGGAGGGAGGGGAAGGGAGAAAGGGGGAATGGTGGGAGGAGTATGGGTTCAAAGGCTGAGGGTTCGGTTGTTTGTTTGTTTGATTTTTTTTTATTTTTTATTTTTTTTTGGATGGGGCGGGTGGAGGGGTGCATGGGGGGTGGTTTGAGAAGCCGTGTTTGGCAGGGGGATACTGTGGGCCCCTTCTATGCCTGAAGCTACTCAACTTTCCGTGGCAAATTGGCCGTAAAGGATGTGTGGAAATAGGGGGGCCCTGTGTGGCAGTGGTTACTCTGAACCCCTATGCCTGACCATTGATGATATGTGGAAACAGGGAGTTTTGGTTGGGTGGAAGAGAGGGGGGGGGGGGGGGGGGGGGGGGGGGGGGGGGGGGGGTAAGGCGGGGGGAAGAGAAGTGCAATGATCCTTGACCCCTTGAAGTTACTTCATCCTGTGGCACATAGACAGTGGTTGATAGTTAGCTGGGAAGAGAAGTGCAATGATAGTTAGCGGGGGGAAGAGAAGTGCAATGATCCTACGGTGAGAAGACTACGGTGAAAAAATGTCGGAAATGATGAGACATGGAATGCTGGGTTGGATGGTAGAAAAGGGCAGTTCTCTGGGAAGAGACGCTTTGCCGTTGATTGGACGGGACGAAAGGAAGTCATGCCGGTAGGCAATGTCTGCTATCTGCACCTTGCAGAAAGTTTGTTTGCTTGTAGACAATAATGGTGGAGGGCTAATTGCGGATTGAGAGCATCTAGACGCCGTTTTTTTCAAATCAGTTCATCGAGAAAGGAAATGGACTGGATGAGGGAAAAAGGAGGTTGTTCTCCAGTACCCACTGTTTTTGACTGAATGGTACACGGCGACATGCATATGTAAACGTTCTCAAAATGGAAATATTTGAATCCTGATGGACCCCATACTGTTAGGTTTTGTGACCTCTTAAAAGAGGCACGAGGAGGTGGTCCACCAGAACACACTGTTTGTCGTATTGTTGAAAATGGTAGAAGTTGGTTTGATCACTGCACAGAAACTACTGTTTTCACTCAAATAGAACGCCTGGAAACACATGCACACACACGCACACACACACATACACACACACACACACACACACACACACACACACACACACACCTGTCTCTTATACACATCTAGATGTGTATAAGAGAAAAACTATGTTATGCAGAAAAATAAACTGAACA